ACTTTTGGTGGAAGACATGTCATAATACCCTTGCTACACATGATAATCTCTTCAAGAGGAAGTGTGCATCATCCTCTCTTTACCAGATTTGTAACTTGGCCCCTGAGTCCATTGAACATATCTTGTTTGAGTGTTAATGGATCAATAGAGGTTGGTTTGGAATGGAGTTTAATATACAGTGGGAGGAATCAACGTTGTATCGGTGGCCCAAAGAACCTCTATAGTCCTGCAGCTTGTGAAGGATGCTCAAGGTAGACTTGATGTTTTGGGAAAGATGGCTATTGTGGGATGGGTCATCTAGAAGGCAAGGAACTAGTTCATTTTCAATAGGGACGATGTTAATGCCTATGCCACTGTCATTCGAGCACAAGGAATGAGGAATGATCTCTTTAAATCTGGTATTGTGGAAATGTCGAAGAGACAAGAGGAGCCAGTGGTAAGGGAGGAGAAAAAACAAGAAGCTGAAGCTGAGACCCTTATCTACTGCGATGGAGCCTTCAAGCCAAGTTTTGATAAAGTTGCATGTGGAATGGTGGCAAGCAAGGAAAGGGGAGTAATTGTGTTTGGCAGTGCAAAGTCATTCCCAGCAAAATCTAGCATCCTCGCTGAAGTAGAGGCTGTAAGACAAGCTTGCATCCTTGCCGAAGCCCAGTTGATCACCAATGCAACAATCTTGAACGATTGTCTGAACATCATCAAGCTTAGCTCCAATGAAAATGTGCCTTCGTGGGAAGTCAGCATTATTGTTAGTGATATTAGACATTTTGCTAAGTTATACAACCTTAGTTTTTTGCACAAGCCTAGGGCCTGTAACAAGACTGCTCATTGGGTGGTAGCCGCCAAATTAAACAATTCACTCCCGTTGAATTGGATAGGCTCCTCTCTCTCGAGCTAAAGGCTTTTCTTTTGACCGATTGTAATCTTAATATCCCCACTTAATGAAATGATTATGCTGGTTGGTTGATCAAAAAAAAGAAAACACACAATTAAATTGCTTCATATTCCAAGTTTATTGAAGACAACCCCAAGCCCAACACTTAGGACCTCATAGCCCTCGGTCTTGGGAGCATAGAGCTTCCACTAAGTTTGACATTTCTTAGGGCTTGGTCCAGATGTCTAGTGGACTATTCAAGTTGTGCTACAGTCTATACGAAGGGTAAAATTTTTGAGTGGTCCTCAAATATGCATTTATTGCTATTTTATCCTCTAAACTTACAACTATGTCATTTTGTGTCCAAATTATTAATTGATAATTGGTATGTGTCATTTGATGAGAGCTTACATTTGTGACCATCCATTAATTATTTATATAGTAGCTAATGAAAAAAATAATATAATAAAAACTTTAAGAACCAAAAAATGATAGATTATTTTTTAGGGTATGGAGATTAAATGGAGGATAAATTACACTCGCAATTAGGGGTGTCCATGGGCCGGGTTACCCACGGGTCCCGTTACCCGGCCCAAAAAATAAGCCCAATATCTGATAGGCTTAATAATTGGCCCGCCCATTCTCGAGCTCAATATCCTTTAAGAAAGGGCTTGGGTTTACCCCTAAACTCATTATCTGGCCTGAAGCCCGGCCCAATAACTTGCCCACATACCCGTCCTGAAGCCCGGCCTAGCCCAATAACTCGCCCATGAGAATTTGTGATAATTTGGTAGGTGAGATTGAAAGTTAGGTGAGTCAATTTTTTTTCAAATTTGAACTTCTGACCACCACATCAAACTTGAATTGCTGACTGCTGAGCACCACATCCACATCAAATTTAAATGGCTATTGTGTGACTGTCTTAGTTTGTGTATTGTCTTTTCCATCTGTAAGTCTGTCATAGTGACTATCAGCGGCCGAGAATCTGAGACAGTCATAACTCATAAAAATTTTCTTTCTCCTAATATAATCAATGATCATAAATAAACAAGCATTTTTTAATGTATAATTTATAAATACCTTTGCTCTTAACTCACAACTTCACAAGTTATAACTCTCATTTCCTCTCAACTCACAAGTCACAATTGTCAAGTGGTCTCATTTGGTGAGAAAGTTTTTTTACATAATTTAAGTATTTATTTTATTTTTATAGTTTACTTTACGTAATGACTTCATCTCATTCACAAAATACTTTTTATAACGAAATTCTTGAGTTGAATAATAATAATGAGAACATCAATGAGGGTGAAGTGGATGATCTATTTTCAACTCCAGAGATGGATTCTATTGAGAATGTACCATCTAATAAAAGACAAAAGTCCAAGGCCTGTGATCACTTTGAAAAAATCCAAATTAAGAATTCTAATGGAGTCATTACATTAGAAAAGACTATATATAATTATTGTAAAAAAGATTTTGCTGGAAGCTCTAAAAATAGAACTAGTCACTTAAAGACATGTTTATTAAAAGGTCAAACTGATATTAGACAAACAATGTTATCATAATCTGCTAGCACGGGTACACTAAGCACTTTTAGGTATGAACCTGAATCTGCTAAAAAAGTAATTGTTAGATGAATTGTTATAAGAAATCTTCCATTTGTTCTTGTAGACGATGCTGAATTTGAAAGAATGTTGCAAAATAGTTTTAATCCTTCCTTCCAAAATTTTTTTTGTCAAACATGTTAAAGAGATGTTATTAAATATTATGTACAAGAAGAAAATAATTTAATTGCTTATTTTCGTAATCTTAAAAGTAAAATTTGTTTGACTTCTGATATTTGGACTTCTTACCAACAATTAGGATATTTATGTATAAACTGCTCATTTTATTGATGATAATTGGGTTATACAAAAAAGAATTATTACTTTTACAAGGATTGAAGATAATCATAGTGCACAAGTTATTTTTGAAGTTATTTATAATCAGTTACAAATTTATCGTATTCAAGACAAGATTTTTACTATTACTTTAGAAAATGCAAAAAATAGTAGTGGGGTTGTAAGTCATTTAAAATATTATTTAATTTTACCATGTGAATGTAGTTTTTTTCATATAAGATATATGTGTCATATCATAAATCTCATAATACAAAGTGGTCTCCATAATATTAGATGTATAATTGATAAAATTAGACACATTATTTATCATATAATAAGTTCTGAAAATAGACTTAGGACATTTGGAACTATATGTAAAAAGAATAATTTAAAATACAAAAAAATATCATATGGTGTACAACATAGGTGGAACTCCACCTATAAAATGCTAGATGTGGCAGTTAAATATAAAACTGTCTTAAATGACTATATTAGTATAGATACTACCGGTTCATTATCGTGTCCCACCAAAGAGGAATGAGATGTTACTGATAAAATGATATATTTTTTAAAAAAATTTTATGAGTTAACTATGACTTTATCTGGTAATTATTATCTAACTATTACACTTATTTATGTTCATATAGTTAGTATCAGTGATCTTTTTAAACTATATAGTAATGAACCCGAATTTTTTACTATTTTACATAATATGCAATCTAAATTTAATACTTTTGGTTTTGGTATGTTAATTGACCGTCGATTTAAAGAATTTGGCCTTACAAGTGTTTTTATGTCTTTATATGGTAACTTAAATGATGAGCACATGAATCACATGAATAAAATAAAATATTATTTTAAAAATTTTTTTAATGAATATAGTGTAACATTTGGGAATAGTGGTATACTTAATCCCTCCTCAACTTCTAGTAATATTATTGGTAGTAGTAAAGGTAAAGGTAAAACATCTATGCTAGCTCCAATTTTGAACAGAGGAGGTACGTCAACATGTAGGGGGTTAACTGAACTTCAACAATATTACAATGCTCCAATGGTAAGTGTTGAAGATCCTAATTTTGATATTTTGGCTTAGTAGAAAGGATATGAAAGTAGATTTCCAATTTTTTCCACCATGGCTCTTGATATACTAACAGTTCTTATGTCGATTATAGCATCCGAATCTGCTTTTAGTACAGGTGGACGTGTCATTGATGAGCATAGGAGTTGCTTAGGTGGAAAGACAATGGAAGCCCTCATGTGTCTTCAAGATTAGCATGCCGCTGAAGTGAGAGATCAAAATATGAAAATAATTCCTCCAATGCCAGAATTTGAAGTTTTAAAAATTTAGATATTAAGATCGATGTATTTTTTTCATGTACAAAAGCCTTCAATGGATAGAATTGTGCAAATGATAGATAGGTGGGTAGGTACCAACCTAGTTGGGATATACTCATTCTATAGTGATTCAATTTCTCTTCTATTTATAAATAAAATTATTTATTATTTAATTTTTGTCCATTTTAATTTTGATTATACTTTTAATTCAAAAATATAATTTCTAAAAAAATTAAATGAAGTTGTATATTTTTTTAATAGGGCCCAAGAAGCCCGCCCAACAGGCCCAACAAAAGCCCGCCCAGAAAACCCATCCGCAAAGCCCGCCCAATAGCTGACGGGTTGTGCTGCGGGTAGCTACCCCTACCCAAAGCCTGGCCCGCCACTTGCCCAAGACGGGTTTGGGCCTATACTACCCAAGTCCGGGCCGACCCATGAACAACCTAACTCACAATATATGAAATAAGGGAAAATGCTACATAACTCAAATGAAACCCAAATGTATATCAACCCTTGGATGAGTGTGAAAAGAGTTAAAAACAATTAGGATAAATTGTCTTGCTGTCCTAATGGACAAATTTGAACTGTCTTAATTGTATGACACATTCACACTATTGAGTTGTGAAAAAACCAAGTATGATGAATGAATTGATTTAGGGTTAAATAGCTTTGTTATAAATAAAGATATGACACTAATACAAGAAGAACCCAAATTAATACGAGTCCAGAATTAAACAGAACGAACACCCCTGTTGATGACAACTAAATTTCAAGGCTTCAATATACTGATATTGATTTAAGCAAGCCCAAGTCCTAACCGTGAGAACAGCCTTATTTGCAGTGCTTGCTTCTCAGCTCACGCAAATTTCATAAGCTCATGAATAACAAGGGGGCTAATCAACCTTAACCATCTAATCTTTTATACGTTCATGTTAACATGTTTTGTACAAAATTACTCCCCATACAAACATGGTTTGGCCAACCAGTAAGTTTCTATTCCATCTACTCAAAAGTCAGAACATTTGGCAAATTCAGATACGAAGGGAACCAGTTCAGTATATGAAGAAACACTTTATACAATTACACATATGGAAGATTTGCTACACTCAAATGACATTGGTCCTCCTTCCAAAACAACAACAGAAAACATCAACCCATGCTGGAGCTTCCAGAATAGAAAAAGGCAAATAAATAATGCAGGAGAAATACTGAATCAAGTGTTCTTATCTTTTCTTACATTTGGGGATGACCTAAACCATGGAATCCACACTGATGTTGTCTTCTGGTAAAGTTTGTATGCTTCAGCCCTGTAATCTTGTTGCAGCATCCTCTGCTCCACAAGCAGGGTGACATATGCCAAGCACATGCTATTGACCAGAGGCCCAAGAAAGATCCAGCCACAACCCAGGTTCCATCCAAATATGGCCAACCCCCACCACCATAGTTGCTCCCCAAAGTAGTTTGGGTGCCGGGAGCACTGCCACAGGCCCTGCTCAAGATTGGGCACCAATGGCTTTCCAAGCTCTTTTAAGTGGCTGTTTCTGTTCACAAAATTGTATAGCTGTGTGTCGGCAAAATAGGCAATAACAATGCCAGGCACGCAGATGAACATGGCGACAATGTCCCAGATGTTCCATGGCTTGTCCACTGAGTGAACAACATAGAGAGGCAGGCACACTCCGAAGAGGAAGACCTGCAAAGTTCTAAATTTAGAGGCAGCGGAAAGTGGAAAAAACTCTTGCTCACAAGGCACCCATTCAGCAATCAAGGTGCTAAAGCATCCAATCCAAAACTGATTGTAGAGAAATGGCCATGTAAATCAACCTTGGGTCCCCTTAATTTTTCAAGATGAGGTAACTCTTCAGATAAACAAATCTAGTAATTCAACAATACGACACACTAAAACTACGCATACTATGTTAGACTATCCAATGTAAAACTAATTGGCAATAAATAGAGTGTCCTCAATATATAAACCAACCTTGGATCTACTTAATTGCTTGATGATAGCTCTCTTCAAAAAGGGAAAGTTCATTCAGGCAATATATCAAACAGCTATGCGGAATCGAAACTTTCTTGGTTTCAATCCTTTTTCCGAGTCAAAATATTTGAAAATTAGCAAGGTAGGAAAAGGAACAACAGAATTACCTGTTGAGGGAAATAAACGGTGAAAAAAGAAACCCACCACCAGTTTTTGCCGTACTGGTGGCGCATATCGGTGAATCTCCAGTCTTCCCTGGCACCCCACTGCCACCTTTCCCGGCGAAAGTAGTTGTGGCTGAGCCTAATAGCCCAAACCCAGGTCAACAAGATAACAATCCTCGACCTCCAAATGTCACACTGCCCCAGAGGGTGAGTGGCATAGTAATGGGCGAGCAAAACCGGTATCACAGTCCAATAAACATCGATCATCTACACTCAGTCAACAAATCGAACAAATACATAAGAGAACCATGACAAATCAAAGGAAAATGCATCAAATGAGAAGAGAATGAGTCAACTTGCATATAATAAGCCACCACCCACCCAGTGGCTAGATTGGATCAGACCAATGACCCAGAAGAGGACATTAACGTTGAGGAAGAAAAGGAGGATGGCTAACAGTATAGGGTGGCTATAGCACCATGTCCACAGAGAGGAGAGAGAATCTCCATCACCAGTTATAATAGGATGATCATGGAAATGGCGGAGGAAGGAGAGGTAGAATAGAATGGAGGGAAGAGGAACCAGAAACGCTATAACCGCGTTCTTCAAGTTTCCGGCTGCACCACCGGTGGGATTAGTTCCATTGGCGTCCATGGTTTGCGAAATGCCTAGCCACTAAGGACCCAACGACGCCCTTTTTATAGCTTTTGTTGATGGCAAAGTTCCAAACGGAAAGTGTCCTTGTGCAATTCCCCCCTTTGCATTTTGAAATTGTTCTACTATATCTTTCGTTCTTTTGGTACTTTATTTGGATTTTGTTTTATTTTTTGACGTATAGATGAGAATTAGGCTGCATATGTTTAGTAAAATCTATGAGTCGATTACGAAAACAAGACCCATTAATTCAAGGGTGTCGATTTATTTTTGCTGATTGCAAAATTTTGGACCTTATTTAAATCTCTAATATCGCTTACTACTTGCATAGATTTGAATGACAAATAGACATTGAAAATGTGAGTTATAAAAGTTCTTATTTATTCTATTTTTTAGCAGTTCTCACGTTTCAAATGTGTTCTAATAATATTAATGTTCATTTGGAGAAAATATGCACTTGAATATACATTTCGTTCTTTCTTTTTGATGTAATTGTCTTTATTGCCTTAAGAATTTTGCTTCAAAAAACTTTATCTGGTACAAAACTTATTCAAGTATTTTCCTTCAAATAGGAGCAAATTGAGAAAAAGCTTGATATACTACACTACCATGTGTATAGACCATACACACTCACAAAATTGACTCACATGTATAGTTAAAATGCTATACAAATTCAAAATATTGAGTCACATTTTTTTATTCTTATATTTCAATGACCAAAGTTTAATTTATCAGCAAATGACATTAGCATATACAAATGATAAGGCAATTTTCTGAGTGTTTATACTATCCGTTATTAAATATCTGTCGTTTTATGAAATCAAAGCATAATTAATATTTTTTCTTTCAAATTTACTCTTATCTCTATTTTTTAATAAGTGTTTAATAGATTAAATGTAGGCTAAGTGTCTTTCACATTATTTTTCTTCCCAATACATATTAAATAAGAGTATTTTAGTCTTGTACAATTATTTTTTACTCATATTAGAGTTATTTAATAATTTTTTTAATTCCTTTGTAAAAACTTTAAACGACAGAAATTTAGGAACGAAGGGAGTAACATTTTACTCCAATAATGTTGATTCAATGCCACATGGGCTTTACTCATTAGGCCGCATGGTTTTACTCTTTTTTTTTTTTTGGTCCACAAAGGGAACACAAGCCGTAAAGCTATGATTGGTTGGAAATGGTGTTAGGATTTAGGCGGACCATGCTGAGACTGAGAGTATAATATAGGCAAACTTCACTTTACTCCTTTTTGATTTAATTCATTTGCATATGACCTCCCTACAGTTTAAAAATGGCACATGACATATTTGTTGTTGTTGGAGAAAAATGCACCGTTAAATTTTTCATTAATTTTAACGATTTATATATGTCACACTCCTATTATGCAATTTAGTATAAAAAAATGCATGCCAAAAAAAAAAAACTCTGAACACCGTTGTCTCTTTCTTTCTGTCTCTCTCTCTTATTACGACAAGTGATAACCATGACCGCCATCCACCTCTTCAGTTACCGATCACCACCACCACCAAACTCCTCTTTTCGTCCAGAGTCTCTACCACCCACCTCATATTTCTATTGTTTAACCACAACCCTCCTCATGTTCTCCAAGTTTTCGATTTTTATTCACGATACATTACTCTTTCTTTTATTTTTAATTTGATTTCAATTTTGATTTGATTATGATTTTCTATTTTTGTTTCAAGATTGATTTTCCTGTTGTGTGTTTGATTTTTAGTTTTTATTTCCATCTCGATTTTCAATTTGATTCTAATTTCACTTTAATGCTTTTACTTATGATTAGATTCTTGGTGAAGAAAAGTGGGATTGGGATGTTGAGATATAAATTTTGAGTTGTGTTGAGGTTAAATTTTGAAAGCATAATAGTCCTTATGGTGCAAGCGATGGATTGCCATGGGTGGTGATAGCGCATTGAATGTCGGAGTTGGGGGGATTGCTAAGCTACCATATTTAATGGTGACGACGATGATGCCTGGGCTGTCAGAGCTATTTTTTGATAATGTTTTTAATTAAAAAATAAATTGATGGGTATTAAGGCCATTTTATTATCATTATTTACAGAATTAATTGTGCATTTTAGTGTAACAAAGGGGGTTATATGTCATTTTTGAACTGCAGGGAGTTGATGTAGACACAGATTAAATCAGAAAGGATAAAGTTGAAGATTATCTTATTATATATCTAATATTCAACATTTAGACATCTTTCTTGAACAAAAAAAAGGAAAAAATCTTGAGACATATCTTCAATAATTAAATTTAGAGGGGGGAATTTGGGCTGCCATACAAATCCAGATTAATGGTGTGCCTTTAATGATATAGCATGCAACTTTAAGAGATTCCATAGCATGCTGGTTGTGCCTTTAATGATTTTTGCCGCCTCTAATGGTGTGCCTAATGATAAGTCCGGGTACCACTCACACCGTGCCCACGTGTTACTTTATATAAACCGATTGGATTTGGATCCTTATCAATATCAAACGTTATCATTTTAAAAAACTTTTCAACCGTTGAATAAGGATCCTCTCTCACACTCTCTCCACTCTAATGTCCAGACAGAATCATATGTGCACAATTTTACTCGCAAAATTATGATTTTTACAATTCAAACACATGGTATTTATAATATAAATCAGGGTAAGTTTTAAAAAATTTATTTGACGATCTCAAATAGACTTATCCAACGATCACCAATATCCATTTTAAAATCATTCACATTACACTTTATCTTCAGGTATCTATCCTTAGTCTAAGTTATATTAAGATTTGTACTTAATAAAATTTAATCATATATTGATAAAATTTAAATTAGGAGTGTCAACCCTGTTGTATCGTGTTCAATTGTTTTATTTTAAGTTCGTGTTTTATATCAATACAAAATTACTTCTAAAGCAACTCATATGATATTATGTAACAAAAGTTTAAAAAAAGTTATAAAATATTACCGTCATGTCATTCTAAATTAAGTGTTAGTATTGGTGTTAATAAAAAAAAAACATTTAATTTTATAACAACCCAAATGATACTATTTAATTTTTTTTTTATATAAGATACTCATTTTTTTGCTGAAGGTACCAAGTAACCTTATTTTTTTATTCATTCAACTTTAAAGTGAGTCATTTATTATATGTTTTTAATGGATCGTAATAATTTCGTGTCATTTTAAATTTACGTATAATAGGAAAAAATTGATATTCCCTTTTCTCGTGGCACTTCCTCAATCGGCGCCAAAAAAGTCAAACCATGGCACAGTGCGAAGCTACTACCACCGTTGAGGTGGGGGAACAATAATTGCCATCAATTGTTAACTCACATCACTTACAGCAATTTATATGGACAACATGGGGTCCACGAGGTACATATATAATTTCCATTTCTCTCTCCTCTCCCTCTCCTTAGCATGCAGTGACAGGCCAGCCAGGGAGACTCCCCTTGTTAAGAGACAGCAATGGATTACGAGTGCTCACAAAATGATGCACCCTCGTTTTGCTTTCGGCTCCCTTAAGGAATCAAAACTAAAGAAAATAAAGAGCGTGTTTGGTTTGTAATTGAAAAATTATTTTTTGTTTTTAAAAATTTAAAAACACCCAAAATTTATTTTCTTAGTATTTTTGTTCTCATTTTTTTGAAAAAAAATAAAATTTGAAATACAAAAATAGAAAATAAGTTAAACTTGTTTTTACAGTGTTCTTTGAAATTTTTGGAAACACAGAAACAAGCTAAATGAGGTCGCAGCTTTGAGTCCCCTTAACAACAAACAACGTCTTCTTTTTTTTCCTTCCTCTCTCTCTCCACTTTGCCCAACATCCTCATCTCCGGCGTCTTCACTGTATTTCTCCGGCGTCTTCACTGTGCTTCAGATCTTCCTATTTCTTCTCTCTCTCCACTGTGCGTCAGATCTGCCCTCTCTCTCTCTCTCGCAAAACTACATATCTGTGTGGGTCTGTGTATGTGTGTGTGTGTCTGCATGTATATGGCTGCGTGTGTGTGTGTTTTGTATCTGCGTGTGTGTTTGTTTTGTGTCTGCGTGTGTATGTGTGTGTATCTTTGCCTGTGTGTGTATGTACGCATGTATGTGTGACTGTTCTTGTGAGAAGATAATGTGGAGAGTGAGAACGAGAGAGAGAGAAAGGAAGAAGACTCTAGATGGTGGGCACCGTCGGACTGCTTGAGAGATAAGTGTGATTTTTTTTTTATTTTGGTCAAAAGTAATAAGTTAAAAATTAGTTTTGTGGATTATTGGCCAAACATATTTTTTTATTTTTTGTTCTTTAAAACTATTTTCAAAAATATATAACTAAACAAGTTTTGCAATCTAAAAATTTTCAAAAATATTTTCTTAAAATTCTTCTCAAAAACTATTTTCAAATACTGTTTTTTGAGATGCAAACCAAACAGGCCCAAAAACTCCTTCTTTGTTTTTCATTCTTCTAAATTGGACCCAGACTTATGGCTCAAGTCAGTTTAATATGAATGACTTTCTTTCTCTCTAATTTTTTTGTTATTTCTACTACTTTGATTGTGCTTAGATTTTTTTTTCATTTAGTCATTAAAATTTGTTATTCATCAACAACTAATTTGTTCTTAAATGATTAACCTCATGCCTAAACTAATTGAGTGGGCTTATTTCCACCCCACAAATATCCTTCCCCACCCCATTAAACTCTCAATTATAAAACTAATACCTACCCCTACTATTCCCACCCCACTACAACCTAAGTCCACCCCCATTCTATATCCATTAATGACTAAACTCACTTCTAATCATTCCATGTGAATTTATCTTTAAGAAAAAGAAATAAAATAAGTTCATATATATATATATATATATATAGTAAAACAAGATTGAACTTGAATTTTATCCCACTATATTTTTCCCCCTAAATTAACACAACCCAAACATTACATCCAACCCAACTTAGCCCAACCCACGCAACGGCTACCTGCAAACACAATCACTTCCCCAAAACCCTGCTACCTGCAAACACGGCTAGGCTCTCTCTCAGTCTCTTCTCTCCTAGGCGGTGAGTCACTT